GAAAGTCTCCATTTTAGTCCCCCTTTCATTTCCATAAGGCAGCAGGTCAGTTACAGCTTCAAGGCTCGAGGGAGCCATTTCGGTCTACCGATAAGATGTTGTAAGTTGATCATGTGATAGTACTCATGTTCATGATCGTGGAAAGTCTCATTTTTTATGGTTTAGCCCACGTTTGAATCATTTTAAAGTCTCCATTTTAACCCCCCTTTCATTTCCATAAGGCAGCAGGTCAGTTTCAGCTTCAAGGCTCGAGGGAGCCATTTCGGTCGATCGAAATGGTGCATCGGTCGACCGAACCAAGTAGTTGCTCTCAGGATTTCCTATTTCGGTCGACCGAAATGGGGTTCGGTCGATCGAACCATCTTCACACTCTCGGGATTTCACCTTTCGGTCCATCGAAAGGTTATTTCAGTCGATCGGTTCTGGAGGGTCTGCTTCGGTCGACCGAAGTGCACCTGTCTTGTCCCCTTGCTCTTCCTTTCATGACTTCCTACCTTTGAACCTTTGGAAGTGTGTATTGAACCTTTAGGAAGCCTAGTACTAACCCTAAGGATGATGTTTTGACCCTAGAAATGTTGAGTTTGACGTAGATAACCTCGGCTTCAAGTAAGAACCCGGCTAACGGTTCGGATCTCCGGGTTCAGGTCGTCACAGGAATGGTATCAGAACGATGGTTCGAAAACCTATAGGACGACGGGTAGAGGCCTACATAGGATTGCATGGGATGTTGATTGCATTATTTATGTGACTATTTGCTACTTGTTTATTACTTGAAGAAGCATGCTTAACTGCTTATTTGCTTCCGTGCTTAAATGTTTCTGTTAAAATGTTTCTTGTATAGTTATGCATACTAAGTGTCGTTACGGCATCATTTCTTGTTGAGTCACCCACAATGGACCTTAGTGTCTTGTTATTGAACCGTTTTCTCGTTTTATAGCACGATGTCACGGCGTGAGGAACCCAGAGAAGTTGGCCCTAGGCTAACAAGGGGTGATGTTGGCGAAAGCTCCAGCTCCAATCCGAATGAGCTAAATGATGAGGGCACACTTCTTAGAGATTTGATTCCCCCGAGAAATGTCCCTACAAGGAGGGATAATGTTAAAGCACCCGTAAAAGTGGGTGAAGGTTCTGCGGAACTGGAGTTGAATCGTTTGTTGTAAAGTGCCTTGAGGGCAACAATTGCTGCTCAGCCGCAGCCGGCACCACAACATGTAGTCTAGGCAGAGGAGACGCCAGCTCAGAAGCGTCTTAAGATCATTAAGGGATTTTCTCAGTTGATGCCGGTTATGTTTGAGGGCGGAGTGGATCTAATGGTAGTAGACGACTGCATTGATCAAGTTGAAACTCAGTTGACCTCAATGGATGTGATAGAGAATCACTTGAAGATATTCCTAGCAACTTACAAGTTTGCTAAGGATGCCAAGTTTTGGTGGAAGTCAGTTACGAATCGGTATAAGGTAGAAGAGATGAGTTGGGACAAGTTCAAGGAGCTTTTTTACAAGAAGTATTTTTCGATTTCTAAAAGATAAGTGTTAAAAGACTAGTTTCTTGGCCTTATCCAAGGCAATATGTTAGTGGCGGAGTATAAGAACAAGTTCACTTCATTTTCTCGCTTTGCTCCAGAAATGGTGAGAGATGAAGTTGACAAAACTCGGAAATTTGTTTCCGGTCTTCATGACAGAATGAGACCGTTGATAACGGCACAGTTCATCAAGGTTTATTCTGAAGCAGTAGAGAGGGCTTTGATGCTTGAGGCTGATATCAAAGATAAGGATACAAGAATTGAACAACAGAAGCAAAAGAGAGGTGTAGGGCCATCTTCAGAAGGATCTTCTTGGAAGAAGAACAAGGGTGGTTCGTTTTAGTTTCAGGGGCAGCAGTCTGCACGATCTGCTCCTACCACTTCTATGCCAGTTGGGTCTGACAAGAGTGGAGTCGTATGTTTTCAGTGTCAGCAGCCAGGGCATTACAAGTCCAGTTGCCCTATAAGATCGTCTACAGTTTCTTCAGCTCCAAGGGCTTGTTATAGGTGTAGCCAGTAGGGTCACTTGATTCGAGACTGTCCTAGTCAGGGAGCAGGCACTGGTAGTGGTAGAGGGTCACGACAGAGGCAGTCACAGTCGGCTACAGTTCAGTCAGGTTTCAGACCGCCTCGACTACCACAACCTTCCATGTCTTCTCAGGGTTCACGACCAGTTAGGAGGGATGCTCCTATTGTGTCGGCGTAGCAGTCTGGTGTTCAGGGTGGCAGTTCTCAGGCATAGGCACCACAGGGACGTGTCTTTGCACTTGCACCAGCTGATGCATCTTCTGGACCGTCAGTTCTCTGAGGTATCTTTCCAGTGTTTGGTTCTTGGGCTCACATTCTCTTTGACTCTGGTGCATCTCATTCCTTCATATCATTATCATTTGCACTTGCATCGGGGTTGGAGGTTAGTTTCATGGATCAGGCGTTGTGTGTTGATATGCCAGTTGGGGTTTCAGTGTCTTTGAGTCGAGTTGTTCGGGATTGTTCCATTGTGATAGTCAGACGAACTTTTGTGTTTGACCTTATCCTCTAGGAGATGACTAGCTTTGATGTCATTTTTAGGATGGATTGGTTGGCTTTCTTTCGTGCCACGATTGATTGTTTCAGTGGTTGAGTTACAGTTTGCACTCTTGAGGGAGATTGTTTCTTTTTCGTGGGAGATCAGAGTGATTCCCAGCTTTCATCATTGTATGGAATTCGTGAACGAAGTCGTGGAGATTATTTCTTGGCAAGTCTTCTAGCCGAAGAAGATGATGTTGTGGGAGAAGACTATCCGGAGGTAGTTCGTGATTTTTTGGACGTGTTTCCAGAGGATTTGACAGAGTTGCCTCCACACCAAGAAGTGGAGTTTACTATTGACTTAATGCCCAGTACCGCGCCGATTTCTATGGTACCGTATTGTATGGCACCAGTTGAGTTGGAAGATTTAAAGAAACAGCTTGATGATTTGAGGATGAAAGGTTTCATCCGACCGAGTGTGTCGTCGTGGGGCGCACCGGTCTTATTCGCTAAGAAGAAAGATGGTTCTTTGAGGTTGTGCATTGATTACCGGAAGTTGAATCATGCCACCATCAAGAACAAGTATCCTTTGCCAAGGATAGATAATTTATTCGACTAGTTAAGGGGAGCTACTTGCTTCTCGAAGATTAATTTGAGGTCCGGCTATTATCAATTGCGGGTTAGGGATGAGGATATCCGAAGACAGCATTCCGTACACAGTATGGACACTATGAGTTCCTTGTTATGCCTTTTGGCTCGACTAATGTGTTAGCGGCATTCATGGACTTGATGAACCGCGTCTTTCACGATTACTTGGACCAGTTTGTGGTAGTTTTTGTGGACGACATTCTTGTGTACTCACGGACTCGGGAGGAGCACGAGGTCCATTTGAGTACTGTTCTACAGATTTTGCAAGAACACCGATTGTATGCCAAATATGAGAAGTATGAGTTTTGGCTACAAGAGGTGAAGTTTTTGGGACACGTTGTTTCGGAAGGTAGAGTGTCAGTTGATCCATCAAAGATTGAAGCTGTTTTGAATTGGGAGCAACCCAAGAATGTGTTTGAAATCCAGAGTTTCCTTGGCCTAGCGGGTTACTATCGGAGATTTGTGAAAGATTTCTCCCGTTTGGCAGCTTTTATGACCCGATTGACCCGAAAAGGAATCAAGTTTGTGTGGAATGAAGCCTGTGAGTCATCTTTTTAAGAGCTGAAGACATGATTTACTACAGCTCCAGTGTTGGTGAACCCTGAGCGTGGCTTAGGTTATGTGATTTATTGTGATGTTTCACGTGATGGGTTGGAATGTGTGTTGATACAGGATGGTAGAGTAGTGGCTTATGGGTCTCGACAGTTATAGACTCATGAGTACAACTACCCTACTTATGATCTGAAGTTAGTGGCCGTTGTGTTTGCTTTGAAGTGTTGGAGACACTACTTGTATGGTGAGAGATTCGAGGTATTCTCGGATCACAAGAGTTTCAAGTACCTTTTCTCCCAAAAGGACTTGAACAACAAGCAAAGACGATGGGTTGAATTTTTGGAAGATTATAATTTTGATTTGCAGTATCATCCGGGCAAGGCAAATGTGGTACCAGACATTTTAAGCCGGAAATCTCGTGGAACTTTGGCTGGATTAGCTATTCGGAAATGGAAGATGCTTAATGATCTGGCGGAAATAGGATTAGATTGTGTTGACGATGATGGTTGCGGTGAAATGGCATTCTTGTTTAGTCTTGTGGCTCAGCCTACTCTTGTTGTAAGAGTGATTGAGTCACAGAGACATGACTCGGATTTAGAAGCCATCTACGCTTTAATCTCCAATGGTGAGACAGTGAAAGATTGGACCTTGTATGCAGATGGGGGTTTATGGTTCAGGGGTTTGTTGGTGGTTCCCATAGTTTATCAGGAGGACGTCTTATAGGAGTTTCACACTTCCCGCTTTGCAGTTCATCCTGATGGTACTAAGATATATCATAATTTGAGACGTCAGTATTGGTGGAATGGGATGAAGAAGGATGTTGCATAGTTTGTGACTAGATGCCTTACCTGTCAACAGGTGAAGGCCGAGCATCAGAAACCGGCTGGGTTGTTGCAACCATTGCCTATAGCACAATGGAAATGGGAGCATATTGCTATGGATTTTGTGATAGGTCTTCCAAGGTCACGGAGAGGCAACGAGGCTATATGGGTCATCATTGACCAAGACGACTCACTTTTTGCCTATTAAGGCAACAGATGATGCAGAAACACTTGGTGTACTATATGTGAAGTAGATTTTAAGGTTACATAGAGTTCCAGTAACCATTTTTTCGGATAGGGATGCTAAGTTCACTTCGAAGTTCTGGAAAAGACTTCAAGCAGTGTTCGATTCAGCGTTGCATCTTAGTATGGAATTCCATCCACAGACAGACGGCTAGTCGGAGCGTACTATCCAGATCTTGGAGGATATGCTTCGGGCATGTGTGCTTGACATGGGTGGCAGTTGGGAGGACCACTTTCCACTCATTGAGTTTGCATACAACAATAGTTATCAGGTGAGCATTGAGATGGCTTCTTTTGAGACAGCTGATTTAGGACCCGACATGGTACTCAAGACTATTGAGAAAATTAAATTGATCAGACAGAGATTGCTCATAGCTCAGAGCCGACAAAAGAGCTATGCAGATAGGCTGAGACGATCGCTATCTTTTGAGGTGGGGGACCATGTTTTTCTACGGGTTTCTCTACGAAAGGGTTTGATGAGGTTCAGGAAGAGTGGCAAGTTGTCACCACGATTCATTGGACCGTTTGAGATTTTGGACCGTGTATGAGAGGTTGCCTATAGACTTGTTTTGCCACCACAGATGGACAGGGTTCACTATGTTTTTTATGTGTCGATACTACGGAAGTGTGAACCAGATCCATCTCATGTTTTGGATTGGGTTGACGTGGACATTGGTGAAGATGTCTCCTATGAAGAGGGTCCAGTGCAGATCCTTGACACCAAGCAGAAGGTGTTAAGGGGTAAGACGATGCAGTTGGTGAAAGTTCTTTGGAGACACCACAGAGTTGAGGAGGCTACTTGAGAACTCGAACAGCAGGTTCGCTCCAAGTACCCAGAGTTATTTTCTTCCTCAGGTATGTCTTGATTTCAGGGATGAAAACCTTTTTAAGGTGGGGAGATTGTGATGTTTCCAATTTCGCATATTTCATTTTTTCAGAATTTTGCCGCCGCAAGGGCATCTTCGTCTTTTCACGTTTTGCGTACGGGATTTTAGTTGGGTCCATTTGCATTTCACACATTTTATTTTGTGTGAATTAAGTGGCATTTACTTGGTGGTGCATGTATTTAAATGTGTGGTGTAATTTTGATAAGGGAAAAGAAAAGAAAGTTGGTGGGACCCACCATTAAACACATAAGTGCTCTAACGACCACAATTTGTTTCCCCACTTTCTCTCTCCCCGTAACTTTTTTTTTTTTTTTTGGAATGTTAAGCAAATGTATTTATGTAAACATAATTACAAAAAAGACCTGCTTGTGCTGGAACAAAAGACAGTGGCCCAAAAGAAATAACAAGGTCAATGACCGAACCCAAGAGTCTAAATGACTCAACCCGATACTGTGCTTGATATTTTAAAGCACTTATCTACAACACATCTATTAAAAACCGTGAAGATCTGAAAATCCCATGGTTATAGCAAACCCCACATGTTCTCCCTCTTTTCTGTCGTCGTATGTCGTCTTCTTCAATTGACGCCGTCCGGCGGTCTTGGAGGCGGACGAGAAGATGAGGGATTATATTCCCAGTCCTTCAAGGCTAGGAGAGCTTCCATATAGTTTCTGAGAGAGTAAGATTGTAACTTTCCTCTAATTGAACTTAAGATTGAAAAAAGAACTGAGTTCTGCGAAGAGCTCTTGTTGTTGAAGATTCTGCAGTTGCGCTCTTGCCATAAATGGTAAATAGTTGCTGCGAAGGCTAACTTGATGACTTGGTTCTGGAATTTTTTTTTCACGCCAGTGAAAGGAGACCTATGCCACAAGGTCACTCCAATTCGCCGGGCGAATGTAAAATCCAAATTTCCCCTGCAAAAAGCTCTAAATTGGGGAGGAGAATTGGCACTTGAAAAATAGGTGATCATGGCTCTCTGGTTCAAGGTTGCACAGACGACATATTCTTGATTGACGAAGGTGGGTCATCTTCCTCCTGTCCATTGTTGAAAGTCGCTTCTGAACTGCTAACTAGAGAATAAAACTGTGTTTTGGGATTGAAATTCGATTATGGACTAAGTGATGCCAAGGAGCATGATTTCCCCGAGATCTGATGTGGTCCATTGTGTTCTTTAGGGAATAAGCACCAGTTAGAGAAATTGTCCAAATTGGTGAATCCGTTAGAGATGGGTTCGGTGGTGCGAGTGAAGATAATTCGGGAATGGCTTTAAGGATGGGTTGTGGGAAATTCCATGTAATCCCAGAAGCGAATGAGCCAAGTAGACTATGAAGAGGGGCATGTGGGATAAGAGAGCTAAATCTTGGTAACAAAGGATCTTCTTGTAGCTAGGTATCGTGCCAGAAGGAGCAAGCTTCCCCATTACCAATCTTAAGTCTTATAATTAGTCGAACAATTGGTCGCAATTGGAGTAGCTTGCGCCAAAACCATGAAGAATTCTGAGGGATTGGGATGCACCATATGCTTCTATTCCTGACAAGGTAAGTCTTACACCATGTAGACCAGATAGTTGGAGAATCAGGAAGGAAGAAAGCCCAGAAATGTCTTAAAACTGCTGCATTGTTGAAGTCTTCCAGGTTAGGAAACCCTAGGCCTCCTTCCTCTTTAGGTCTGCACACTTTGTGCCATGCAATTTTAGCCCCTGAACTTTTCATTTCTGCTCATAACCATAAGAAATCCTTTAGGGTAGTGTTAATGTCATCAAGAGCTGCCTTTGGAAGCACAAAGAGGCATGCCCAGTAAGTAATAGAGCTTAACAAAATAGATGGGATGAGTTGTACTTTGCCTGCATAGGATAGGGTTCGACTACTCCAATGACTTATTCTGCTGGTGATCTTGTCCACTAGGACCTTGTAATCAGTAGAAGTGAGTCTGGTAGAGGTAAGAGGAACCCCAAGATGTTTTATAAGTAGAGTACCCTTGCCAATTCCCATGATTGATGAGATTTGGTTTTCTAGATCAGAGGATAGGTCGAGAAGAACATTGAACTTTTGGATAGATTGATTGTAAGCCATGAGAGTGTTGAGAACTAATACAGTGCTTGCTTTAGGACACTAAAAGAATTCACATTACCGTAGCAAAATAATAGTAAGTCATCAGCAAAACACAGGTGAGTGAGTCCTACCTTCTTATATCTCCAGTGATATTTGAAGGAGGGAGAGATGAGATGAGGTTTTGTAAGATGGATGATAGGACTTCCATAGCTAGGACAAATAAAAAAGGGGATAAGGGGTCCCCTTGCCTAAGTCTTTTAACACCTCTGAAGAATCCCTGCAGCTCACTATTGATTGAGATGGAGAATGAAGGAGATGTGATGCATTCTTTAATCCAATTCATGAAAATAGAGGGAAATCTAAAGAGGAAGAGAACATCAAAGATGAAATCCTATCCCACAGTGTTAAAGGCCTTCCTTAAGTCCACCTTAATGGCACATCTAGGAGATGATCTCTGGGAATGGTAGTTCCTGAACAATTCATGGGCGAGGATCACATTGTCATTGATTTTTCTACCTTTAACAAATGCAGTCTAAGAATCAGCAACAAGGAATGGCAGAGTGTGCTAAAGCTTGGAGGCTAGGAGCTTGGAGATGCATTTATAGATTACATTGCAGCAAGATATTGGTCTGTAGTCATGCATAGAGGTAGGATTGTTGTACTTAGGCACTAAAGCAATATAGGCTGAGTTGACTTAATTCAAGAGTTTGCCATTGGTGAAAAATTCTCTGATGGCCTTGGTGATGGTTCTGCCCACTATTCGCAAAGATTTCTGGAAAAAGAGAGCATTATATCCATCTGGTCCAAGGGATTTATCTTTATTCATTGAGAAAATGCAGGATCTAATTTCCTCATTAGAGGGGATTGTAGAGAGAGGCTGTAAAAGGTCTTGGGGAACTTGTTTTAGGACAAATGGTCTAAGGTAATCAGTAGCTGGGTAAATAGGTGGATCAGTGTCTAATAAGGATTGGAAGTGATTAATGATCTCATCTTTGATGGCCTTTTCTTCATGGATTTGTCTGCCACTAGAGTCCAAGATGGTGGAGATCTTCTTTTTATTGATCTTGGATTGAAGGATCTGAAGAAGAAAGCTGTGTTATCATCTCCTTCTTGTAACCATTGGATTCTGGACTTCTACCTGATCATAGATTCTTCCTCCTCAAGCCTTCTAGATAAGACCCGTATAAGTGATTTCTCCATAACTCTTAGGGATTGGTCAGATGGATCATTGTCAAGGTCTCTTTGACATGATAGAAGCTAATGTTTGATATTGGCAATAGAGTTTGAAAGGTCAGAGAGATTAGAGCTACATTCCTTCTTAAGTTCAGGCTTGAGGAGTTTCAGCTTTTTGATTGCTTGGAACATGGCAGTGCCACAAATGAAATTATTCCAAATCTTATCCATTGTAGAAAGGAATGATGGGTAGGAACTCCAAACATTAAAGAACTTGAAAGGGAGCTTTTTCCCTGTCCCACATCATCCAATTTGATCAATATTAGGCTATGATCAGAGATTGAGGGTGGAAGAAAAATACACTATGACATGGGGAAATAACCAGTCCATTGGGAGTTGATGATAGCCCTATCCAATTTTCTAGCGATGCATGTGCCTTCAATGCTTTTGTTGGACCAGGAGAAAAAAATTCCTGAATACCTCAGGTCCTTAAACTCAGCTTCATGTAAGCATTCTCTAAAATCATTGATGGAAGTTGTCCATTTATCACTACCACCTGTGTTCTCATCTGGATGAAGCATAGCATTAAAGTCACCAAGCAAAATCCATGGGGAGTTGGAGAAGGTATTTGAGTGGTGAAGGATATTGGTCCAAAGGATCTTCCTATCATCCACTGAGTTGCTACCATAAACAAATGTTGTATGGAATGATTTCCCTTCATTAATGAAGGTGAGGTAGCAGTGATTAGCTTGGGAAGATTTGTGTAACACCGTGAGGTTGATTGTTACAGGATTCCACAAAATCTAAATCATCCACAGTTGTGAAAACTCATAATTGTGAACTAAAGACCATTGATTAGCTATAACTGAGTGGGTCGTGGGAATATTAGATGGGTTGACCTTAGTTTCCATAATTCCCAACACATGTAACTTGTGTTCCTTGATTAGGTTTTTTACCTCAATCTGTTTGGAGAGGCCATTGAGGCCTCTTATGTTCCAACAAGCAATCTTCATGGCAACAGTTGCTTTTTGGACCCCTTTGAGATTCCTCTCATTAACTTCAGACCTTTGAAGTGCAAGGCATGAACAATTGCATCCTCCTTTTTCTTAAGCTTCCCTGCAGCAATGAGTCTCTTTTTAAAATTAGCATTAGCAAACTTTGTGTTACTTATGTAAGAGAATGTGGAAATGAAAGACCCTGGTGTGCTGCTTTCAATGTTGTCACAGTCATTGTGCTTTACCAGTTCATTCTGCTCAACATGGGCAATCTCATTATCTGTACCTGCTAGCTTCATATCTAGGCTCTGGTTTACTTCAACAACATTATTTGAACCTGCTATCTCCATTCCCAGGCTCTGAATATTATTTTGCTTGTCAAGTGCATCCATCTGATCACATGGTGTATCAGCAACTATCTCAGTAAGAGCATGAAACATATTTCTCATTGCAGCTGGTGAGGATGAGGTTGAACATTTAACAATTTCATCACTCCGTGGTACAACCCGCGCAGGTAGCCTTAGTTTAGATAAGTCGATAGTGATATTCTTATTGGAGAGGGAAGTGAATGCCAATGGAGCAGGGGAAGGACTATGTGGTTGGGTTGGTAAGCGGAAAGATCCATCTGCATTGACAGAGGCTAAAAAACGTTCTTGCTCTAATGGCCTGACTTTATCTACATCAGAGAGAGGGGGAA